AGCTTCCATAGGCTGCATCCACCCGGCCGGGAAGCAACCCAGGCTCAAGCGACGACCATGGCCTTTGGATTGTCATTGCGTTAAGTTTGGCCAGCTACATGCCCTTGCCACTTGCCACGCACCAGCTGCTAGGTGTCATATTGATCTGATGTCTTTTTCTATTCCGTTGTGTTATCGAAATCTGATCAGACTTGCGTTTTCAGCTAATTAGCAATTTTAGATGTGTAGACGTCTTCTACCTATGCATTTGTTCTCACCAAGATGAAGGGAACTACATAGTGTTGTCCATATGAAAAAACCAAGCCAATGTGATTAATCAAGTACATTCGCAAGCAGACTGGTATAAAACTGACCTTCCTGTTATCATGTAGATGCTTATTATTTCATTTTTCCTTACTATAAAGATGCATATTGATGATCTTATAGATGTTGTTACTTATATGAAAGGGCACAAAAGTAGCGTAGATAGTAGTACTGCAAATCTCCGAGTTGTTGCTATGCTCAAGCTAATATTCCGAACCTGAGGTGACAAGATGTAGGATATTTGCTGGTTGCAACAAGCCCCATTTGAGAGGTCCATCATATTGGTGAAGGAAAATTGATAGCTCATTGCTCAGTCTTATCCTTTTTAGAAGATAGTCAGCGATGTCAGTACAATAAATTTAGAGATGGCATATTAATGAAAATAGAAAACATCGTGACAACTAGCCATTGGTAAGTCTATATGCTCTATTATTTTCCTTCTACTAGGCATCAAGGTCAGTAAAATATCTTCATGCTTCTCCAATCATACTAGATTTACTAAAAGATTAGGTCGACATTATTTCTTTCACTTTTGTGTATAATCCAGCCATGACACAATAGTGGGCCGGATGATTGATTTCACTGGAATTTGCGCGTACTTAAGTCATGGCTGATGCAAAGTTAATTTACAGTTTTCTTTTGTTGCTATTCAATACTTTAGAAGTCTGTGTTTTGTGTAATTGATTGAATGGATTTTTTTTTGTGGTTTCATATGATGAGTTTGTCAATATCGGGATTAAGTATACGCATGTGGTATTAGGTATCACCTGCTATTAAATAACATTCATGGATCAAATGTAGTGATATTAATTCATTTCTTAATACTTCATCAATTTGGCAAATGTCAGAGATAATTGAAGATGGCACATATGTCCGCTATATAACCACTACTACACAAATATACTATTAGAGATGTGTTCTCCGACTCACAAAGGACATCTTGATGCGACATGGAAAGCTTAGAATTATTTCTAAGAAGATTGCACGTGTTTTGCACGTACAAACTTACTAGTCTTCTCAAACGGACGAAATTAAGACAAAACGCTCTTGCGTTTAGAATCGCATATATACGTTGGAGTTGACCTTATTTTCTAAGAAGTCTGCCCGGCCCAAGCCATTGCGCGACTGTTGCGGTCATGGTGAGGATCCGACACATGTTTTGAATTCTCCATGTATTGGAGGATGACGAGCGATATGATACGCATACAAGAAAAAAAATGAACTGTTGCCTATCGCCCTCGTCACAAATACTCATGACCAGCACCAGAAGCTGGACCAAAATTTGGAAACTCGGATTTGTTTCCCTACTAGTCGTGGGGAATCACAACTCCTTTAGTCTTTTTCCTTTTCTACAGTATTATTAGGGTATTTATTATTCGAGACTCTCTGCCAAAACCAAAAATAAAATAAAATCGATCCATCTTGTCCCCCGTCCCCAGGCAGCCGCCTCCTCCGAGCCACCGCCAGGCAACAAGATCGGTGGCGATGGCCGCCCTCCGGCCATGCCCCTTCATCCTAACCGTGCTTGCTTCCTCCAACTTAGACAGATCTCAGCCTCGCACTCGCGGTATTATTCTGCCGCTGGACCGCAGCAACAGCAATCAGCCGCGCTCCGCCGGACCGGAGCAGCACTCTGCTGAAGAGCAACCACGGGATCCGCGCTCACAGGGGCGCTGCCGGTGAACCCGTCGGCCCGGACCCGGAGGAGCTCATGCGCAAGTACATGGTTGGTAACATCCAGCTCTTCCTCACTTCCCCGCTCTGCGAAAGACACAGGGGATGAATCCGCCTTTTCTGTGTACTAGTGTGCTCCTCGGGTTCTTTATTTGTTGCTATATAATTTCGATTTCAGACTCCAGAACAGCAGAAAATATGGGATGAAAGCATAAAAATTGCCAAGGGGCCACCGGTCAGTATTATTCTCTTGCATTTATTTTCATTATTGTAATAAGCTTATGATAACATAATGTACCATTGTTTTGGTAAGAATGTAGGATACATGGCATTTCAATTTCTTCGGTTTCCCCGTGTGCACATTTTGAGTTCATGCATTCCAAATGGGGCCTAACTATTTTTAGATGACTTCTTTCCTTTAGAAGCATGTATGATTAGACCATCCTTAACAGACACACAATGTAGTTTTAGGCCTTTAATTTTGCCATAGGTAACTGTCCGTGCATTGCCACGGAACAACAAACTTAGACATACTGCAACCTAATGAAGGCACGGATAAATGAATATGATGCAATGAAAAGTTGAACACATTCGTTGGACCACATTCCAATACATCGGCTTCACTTGCGCAGCTTCAGGTTGCCCCTGCCTACGACCATCGTCATGGCAATCTCACTCTCAACACGACATCTGGATGGCATAGACATGAGAACTGGATGAGTCGATTCAAAGACATCGATGCATATACTCAATCTTTGAACAAACTTAGATGGTTATTTGTTCCCCAGAGAAAACAATATCGAAGAAGTTTTGAGTATACAAAGTTGTTACCTTAAATCATGAACCAAAATAAAATTGAAAAGTTTTGAACAGAGCATGGAAGTATAACATGGACTCATAGAGCATGTCACCAATAGCTTGCATACCATTCAAGCACATAGTTCAATCTCATTGAGAAGATTTTGGATATTATATAGAAACAGTTTTGTTCAACATATGTTAGAACTTTGCAATCTCTAACTGAAATCAGCACTACCATTAGGCTAAAAAGTTACCATGCACAAGGATAACCAGATCATTTCTGAATTCCATACTACTGCCGATCGAACAACATGAGTGGACATTATGTCAGCTATAGTTTGTGTTGGATTATTAACTGGGAACATATAAAGATCTACTAAAAACAATAAGCAAAGTACAAAGCCATTGCTCAGGTCACGAAGGCCATGTTCAGAAGATACCACATCGTACAGATAAAACACTAACAAATTAAATAAGATAGATGATATCGTTTGACTGCTCCCTATCTTGCAAGGCTGGCAGTTGTTTCACTTCATCAAGTGTCACTATGGCTGCGTTCTCTGTGCCTTAAATGTAATCTTGAACCTCTCCTGAAGGAACATCAATTAGAGTGTATGTCCCATCAGAGGTGAGGGTTATACCATGTACATCTGAAAGTTTATCTTCTGTCATGGACCTTTTCATAGTACTACTAGAAAACAATGTTGTATACGTTGTCTGCCAGTCTGAAGATCTAATGTAGTACAGTTCTGTCGTGGCCCTTTGGCTAGTAGATCGACTGCGGACATGTAGGAAGAGCTTAGCAGTATCTCCGCTTGTTACAGAAACAGGAATAACTCTGCCAGACACACTTGCGGTGGCATCTGCTGCTTCATTGCCGACAGATTGTGCCACGTCAGTAGTAATGTACGCCCTCCGTAAATAAATATAAGAGTGTTTAGACCACTACTTTAGGGATCTAAACACTCTTATATTTCTTTACAGAGGGAGTAGTTAAATAGACAACAACGCCTGACAGCCAGCCCTTGATCTGCACGGAAATGAGTGCCCACGTGCGTCTGCTACCAAGAATAAAGATCGATGAGTTCGCAGCCAGTGTTTTGATCGGCTTGGCACAAATTTTAACAGAAAGGGAAGGTTAAAAGGAGCGAACCGTGGATGGAGATCCTCGGAGAAAAGCGTCAGCAACGGCGGCGGTGGCAGCCAGTGGTGGATGAGGATGGGGAATGATCATGGGAGGGACACTGACATCTTCTCCAACACACCCACCTCCGTTCCCTTGCTCCTCACTGTCTACGCCAGCCCCAGCATTGAAGCCCTGTCCACTTTGACCCCGGCATCTTCTCCACCACCAGTACCACCATGGCCGACGCCGCGCACTACCTCACACGCGCAGAACTCTTCTTGCCTGCGTGGTACGGCTCGACGGATGGGGAAGGTGGTGTGAGCGATGGGGGATGTGGCACGGACGGGGATGGGGTATGCCGATTATCAGGAGTTACGGGAGGCGGTGGATGTGCTTGACAATTTGGGTTCTGGTTTGTTTCATGGGAGATAGGTTTCTGGTGGGTTTTTGCGCTGCCGGTTTGCGTGCGTGGAGGGAGGTTTGTCTCCTGTTTTTCTACGTTTGCTTGTGGTGGCGTACGTGAGAAAGAACCAAGAAAAAGAGTGTTGGGGGGTGGGGGTCGGACAAAGGAGAGAAAGAACCGAGAAAAAGAGTGGTGGGGGGTGGGGGTCGGACGAAGGACGAAGGACGAGCGAAAGGATATATAGTAAAGATACATATTCTTGGGTGGGGGTCGGACGAAGGACGAAGGACGAGCGAAAGGATATATAGTAAAGATACATATTCTTCACTATTGTTCTAGGCTTCTAGCATCATGAAGTTTAAGGTAATCAACATATGAGTCGCACCTCGGAAAAAGTAACAATGCAATGAAAATTCATAAAGCAAACCTCCTGTAATAAAACATCCATAGAAAACATCGTAAGCTTATAAAATCCAACATTTTTTCACGTGCCTTTATTTGTTCTATTGTTTCTTAAAGGACATGCCATTTCGTGAAGAGATTGACATACTTAGTGAGTACCGGGACAAGGTTCGTGATGAGATCTTCTATGATAAGAGCATTTTGGTAAGTCTTGTTCCTAATATATGTTGTGTAAATTGTAAGAAGCACCGAACTGTTTTACCTTTTTAGCACATAGAAGTAATTTAGCATTGGAAGCAAAAGCTCAAAAGCTTGATAATAATGACTATTAGTATATTTTATGTTGGAATTACTAGTGTTGACAATTAAATTCTTGTTTCATCCAATGGAGAAAAAGCTAAACACAGAAGAAAATTACTCCCTCTGTAAAGAAATATAAGAGCGTTTAGATCACTACTTTAGTGATATAAAAGTAGTGATCTAAATGCTCTTATATTTCTTTACAGAGGGAGTACTCACTATGTAGTTAAACATGATTTCCATGTGTTTTCTCTTCGTTCATTTTGGCTGGAGTTGTAGCATCCAGGAACAGCATCATTGTCATGGACTCTTTGCTCGAAGGCTCACCATGCTGCAGCATTGGCTTCCAAGGTGGTGGTAAGCACATTTCACCCCCCAGAACAGAACCACACCTACCTTGTACTCATTTTTTTTATGTCCATTGTCCTCTTCGCAAGTATACCATTTAATTTATCTTCTGAGATAATTCCAGGATTGTGCGCGTTTAAGACATGGTATGGAGGAGATTTCTGTGCATACAACAAAGCAGGCAAGTCTCTACCTTTTTTTTCTCAAATTACATTTAAAATTATAATGCTATAGGAGTACATACTAACCCCATTCCTAAAATAGATTATGCGGACGTATGTGAGCGTCTTTGTTAGCACGGCTGAGGACAGCCACCATAAGAAGGTTAGAATGGAAACTATTTTTTCCTTTCTTGGTGCACTTCAAGGTATGGCATCGATAAGCCACATACTGATCCAAGATACCCTAGCGCTCATCGGGAGTAAAGATACTTGTTCGGATTACAAGATAGATGAGTCCGGTATAGATAGAGCTCACCTTGAGTATCAGGTGGAAATGAACAATTTGAAAGATATGCTCACCTCGGCGCACAGGCGCGGGCTTCTTGATTTATACAAGGTATGTAGGATGATAATATTGTCTTTTGATCTTCGCCTCATATTTCTGATGCTTGATGCCCCCCTAATGTTTGAATCTTGCAGATTCTGGCGCCCACGCTGCATCTTGCTGTGGCGCGTACAAAAACGTGTGTTCTGAAGATGACTGCCACACGCAAAATGGCACTAGGCCACCACCTACCAGGTGAATATATATGCATCGTCTGTTGTTTCTTTTTCACCACAGTTTAAGTAAGAACAAGTGAACCATCCACCGTTTATATCGATCCTTAAGTTGCTACTCGTCACGTGCAACAGGTGCGCCCAAGGCGCCAGATGATTCATGATGGGAGCCGAACAAATAAACACCAGCGCTTCAGGGATGTGAAAGTGAAGTATATACTGCCTAGTCTACCCATGTTGCCCTTGAAGTGCACGCTACCAAGTCCCAACCAAGGGCAAAATTGGTTGTGTAATTAAAAGTGACTCAAAGTCAATCATGTAGCAAAGAAGTTGGTTCTCATTAACGTAGATTGAAACTCATCTCAAGTTCTTTGTCAGATTGTGATATTAATATCGTAATGCTATGGCCACCCTTGATGGCGAATGCATACAACTCCCTCCGTTCCTAAATATAAGTCTTTTTAGAGATTACACTATGGACTACATACGGAGCAAAATGAGTGAATGTACATTCTAAAATATGTCTATATACATCTGTATGTAGTTTGTACTGAAATCTCTAAAAAGACTTACATTTAGTAACGGAGGGAGTATAATTAAGTATTTCTAGAGATTTTAATAGGGACTACATACGAATGTATATAGACATATTTTAGAGTCACTAGTAGAAAAGGGGGCTTTGGTTCGGCCAAAAAAGAGCATTAATACCGGTTGCATTACGAACCGGGACTAATGTGAGCATTAGTCCGGTTCAAGCGGCGAGGGCACGGTACAAACATTACTCCCGGTTCAAATGGGACCTTTAGTCCCGGTTCGTGCCACGAACCGGTATTAAAGGGTGCGATGCCCATTAGTACCGGGTCGTGGCACGAACCGGTACTAAAGGTCTCAACCCCTCCCCTCGTGTATCACCTTTTCAGTTTTGTAAAAAGCAAAAGGAAACGATAAAAACTTGAAAAGTTAAAATCCTTCGAGATGTAGTTATGTTGCCACATCTACTAGTTAGGAAAATTTTGAAACTTAAATTTGGACAAGTTTTGCAAAAAGTGTAGGGAAAATGTAAAACGGCTATAACTTTTGCATACGATGTCAGAAAAAAAAGTATAATATATCAAAATGTTCAGCACGAAAATCCGCATTCGATTTTGACAGCCTATGGCTTGTTTGCAGATTTTTAGAATCCTCAAATTCCAAAAGGAAAAAAAGTTATGCTCAAATTTCAGTTTTTTTAAATTTTCGTTAAATCTGGTCAAACTATGGTCAAACTACTTATTTAGGAAGTATTAGTGTTACTAAATAATTATTCAAGAATATTAGTGTTACTAAATAATTATTTCAGTTTTTTTGAATTTTGGTCAAATCTGGTCAAACTGTGGTCAAACAATGGTCAAATTACTTATTCAAGAAATATTAATGTTACTAAATAATTATTGTTTTTTTAGAACAATAGTTTCAAACTCAAACAGTGAAATGTGTGACTTCATGCTCAAGCTAAACTCCTGAGGGTTAATAGGATTGACATCTTACTATTGTCAGGGAAACAATAAGTGTAGACTTGGAAACGAGAGAGAATAGAACCCAGAAATTAAGCGTGCTCAGGCTGGGTAAGTGGGAAGATGGGTGACCGTTTGTGAAGTTAGGTTATTTGGAATGATGATGGGTGATTAGAGATTAGAGGTTAAAATAATTCAAAAATTGGAAAATCCCAAAAAAAATCAATTTTTTTTTCAAAAAAAATCAACCGGTTGGTTAGAGATTAGAGGTTAAAATAATTCAGAAATTGGAAAATCCCAAAAAAAATCAATTTTTTTTTCAAAAAAAAATCAACCGGTTGGTGTTACCAACTGGGACTAAAGGTGGACATCTAGGCAGCAGCCACGTGGAGGGCCTTTAGTCCCGGTTCGTATAAGAACCGGGACTAAAGGGGAGGACCTTTAGTAACGACGATAAAAGGCCCTTTTTCTACTAGTGAGTGTAGATTCATCCATTTTGCTACGTATATAGTCCCTTTTGAAATCTCTAGAAATACTTATATTTAGAAATGGATGGAAGTAGTAGACACTTAGATCTTTTGCACGTCTTCTCAAAGCCTACTAAAGCCCTTTAAGAAATAGATTTAGCTTCGAAAAAGTAGAATCTGAAACAAATAGCCATCTCAAATCAGCTTATATGGCAAAGCTCCAATCAGATTCGCGCATATTTAGTGTATTTTCCTTAAGCGTGTGATGGTGTACTTCAGTGGCAAAGTGAATCCACGGCCGTTTCGAAGCCCGTTGAAGCTGAAGCAAACAAACACAGCTTAAGGGTTTGCTAGTACTACCTTCCGTCCCCCAAGGTGGTGGCTATGCCTTCTCTTCGGTGTATGTTCATCTTGACGGTGAGCCGCACACTCATGTCTGGCGCAGGGACTACCATGGGGCGGCGGTGCCATTGCTAGCTAGAAAAAAAGGGTTCATCGAGGGGTTGTACTGTAGTTCCAATTAATTGAGGCGTGTTCTATATCTAGTGGATTTGTTGAGGCTTGGTGGTGCTGTTGCATTTGTTGTGCTCCTTAGAGCATCTTTTACCAATCTCTTATAATTTAGGCCCCTATATAATACTCTTATTCTTTATATAACTCCTTGTATTTGCTTAGCTACATAAAAACGGAACCACAATCAGTCCGAGACAAATGTTTTCGTTTGTATATACATTCCACACAATCGATTCAAGAAATATGTTTTCGTTCGTATGTACATCTCATAGGGTCAATCCAAAAAGTAGCCAATCTCCCAAACTTAACTCCCTAAAAAAAAGGCCAAGTATTTCTAGTTTTAGTTTCCGTACTATATTTCAACTCCATATTTACACACATATTAAATCATAACATAATAATTAAGGTTCACATACTTCACAAATATTACAAATTCAAAGTTTACAAACCAAATTATTCAAAGTCATTCACACGGAAGGGTTCGAATGAAGTAAAGAGCATGATAAAAGCATAACTATGAAGTGCTATGGAGTAGTCACTGATGCTGGGTTCTCAATGTTATGCTGCGTTGCGAGGAATCTTTGTATCTTGTTTGCATCGTGCTCCGGCTCAACAGGATCCCCATTGGAGATGTACCGAAAGTTCTCTGGCATGTCTCTCTCATCTTCAATTATCATGTTATGCGAGATGATGTAACATGTTATTATTTGCCATAGGTCCTTGGGGTTCCAATACTCAAAAGGGCCCCAAATAATGCCAAAGTACTTTTGAAGCACACCGAAAGCTCTGTGGGGTGAGGAGGGTGTAGGCACGGGGTGGAGGGCAAAAGTTTTACTCCACGGGTGGGCGGCAGAGTATGTTTGAGAGTCGGGGCGGCCGCGGAGTAAAAATCTACTCTCCAACGCAAATAAGGGACCGGCTAGGTAGGGTTTAGAGGAGAAAAATCGATCTTTTACTCCTATAACGCCTTTTAGGGGATCGGTTAGAGATGATCTTAGGTCGCGAAGGGTTCTTCGTTTCGTGGTGCCTGCTCATGAGTTGGCCTGTGGTTCAGTCCTGACTTGGCGGCGTGCAAAGTTCGGAGATCGGGCCCTGCCCTATATGGATGGCCACTAGGTCTTCATGTAAAAGGTGGCCAAGTTGTCTCGGTTAATGCTCTACCGGCATGATCGATGCCGGTATCAGCACTGCATCTCTTCTACTGAACAAGATGGCGCTAGGTGTCAGAAGGGAGACATAACAGAGAGTCTTGGCATGTTTGGTTGTGCAACACTAGGCCAATCATTGAGGCATGTAATTGTGCTGAAGTATAAAGTATGACGTGTGTGAGACGTGTGGGTAGAAAAAAATGAAATGAAATCTGAGTTCTTCGCTCTTCTATGTTTCTCATGTTCTTCTCCCTCCCCAGGTCTTCTCTCTCTCTCTCTCTACGAATTATCTACTGGTCATGATCTGATCCTAGGCTCGGTCATCATAGTTGGTATCAGATACTGAGTTCAATCCGACGCGCCTTCGTATTCCCTCAATCATACATGTAAATCCAGAGGATTGTCGTTGGTCGCCTCATGGCTTGATCGCCATAAATTCGGAATTGGGCGGGGAGGCACGACAGCTCCAACGGAAGCGAACCATTTTTCTCATAGCGACACGCAATAAGATCACCCTCTCCCACAGACCGAATTCGCAAATTTAAAATCTCCTCGGCATCATGGGGATAGAACAAGTGCCTAATCAAATTTTCATCCCATCTTCTTGTCCTGCTTATGAATAATTCACACACCCAATTCAGTCTAGATTGATTCTTTTTGGCAGAAATTTTTAAGCTCAAATTTCTTGTAGTCATTTATCTCTCCATATATTTATACTTTTACCATCGAACACTCTCCAAATGAAACTTTTTAAGTACTTCTAGACCATGCATAATACCTTGCCAATTCACCAATGTGGACTGCGGGAAGACAATATCTAGAATGTGACCATGGGGGTAATACTTTTCTTTCATCGCCTTAGCACATAAAGAGTCTGGGTACAAAAATAACCGTGAAGCCTATTTTGCCAAAAGCTCTTGATTAAATAACCTTAGATCATGGAACCCCATGCGCCCTCACTTTTTGGTCTTGTTGGTTTATCCCATGCCAACCGATGGGTTTTCCTCCTATCTTCTTCATCACCCCTCCAAAAATGCCTTGATATAGCCCTCACAATCCTCACAAAGTGAGGCTGGAAATTTAAAAATTCCCATGGCATACATGGGGAGCACTTGCAACACTGCCATGATTTGTATTTCTTTTGCCCCGCTAGAAGGATATATACTTTTCAATCCATTCTGACGATCTTTTTAAAGCCTTATCTTTGGTCGACTGAAATTTACCAATCTTCATTCTACCCTGTGGCACCGGCAGCCCAAGGTACTTATCCTCAAAACCCAGTGGTAATTTTTAGAATAACCATAGTGGCAACTTGATCTTCCAAAATGAACTTTTTGCCAAACATAATTGAACACTTACCAGGGCTCAGAAGCTTACCAGTTCCCTCCTCATAAACCGCAGGAATATTTTTAGTGGTTAAGGCTTGATCGATGGGCCCCTTGATAAACAGGAAGCTATCATCCGTGAACAATAGGTAAGAGATACCTGGAGCTTGTCTGTTCAAATGAAAATCTTGAAGAGCTCATTTATCGCATGCATCCTT